AAGTGTTAGAGAATTTTAAGCATCACAGCATGATATCGAAATTTCACACAAGTCACGAGCTAGCGGAGACCGTGACCTCAAAAAGAGCTTTCACGAAAAATAAAAGAAAAATTACATCATCAATCCCCATTTCGTATTCTCCGGCCATCATGTTTGGCGAATCACCACCGCCGGTCATTCTGGATGACTGATTGTTGGAATGGTTCGATGGCTGACTTGGTGTTGTCGCAGCAGAATCATTTGTAATAATCCATTTCTGTGGGTCATTTGGATCTTGTTGGAAATGAAGATTTCCTGCAAAAAAGAGGTTTTGACACCACAAGTCCCTGCAATGATATATTCACCAACCCAAAGTAATTCGCTGTTGAGATTGCGGCTGTGAAATTGGAGTTCCGCCGGCATGTCCAGAATCCAACGTTTCCATCTTAAACCCTTCCTAATAACATCTCTCTATTTACATCCAACAAGATAAAAAGTTTCAAACCTGAACGACGCTTACATGAGTCGTGCTACTCGTTGGTTGCATAGGGCTCAGCACTGTCATCTGTTTCTTTTGCGTATCGGCCGGAATTTGCATTGGGATAAAAGTGAGCTAAATATGACAATTTACTCAAAATGAGCTTATGACAATTTATTTAAGGTTGATGATAGACATCGTATTCATAGCCCTAATTGCTGAGTGAGCTGTGCAAAAGCTTAGTAGGAAATGGTCAGAATTTAATCCAGCCATTCCAGACAAGCTGTATATAAACGGACTCGCCTTCAAAAGCTGATTTCAAAAATATGTTTTTCAGCTGCCAAAAGACTGTCCGAGAGTTCTGACCATGTCCTGCTTAGTTAGACTGCCGCATCCTTTTATTTTCACAATTTATCACCGCTATTCTTTCGGACAAGGCCTAACATTCTCTTCATAGCTAACTTTTATCCTCGTAGGGTCTCCCTCTTGTCAGATGTCTCCGTTTCTGCTATCCAAGGCAAGTCTTCAACTATTCCAAATTTTTGCAGGTCTGCCTTGCTTTTGTG